AAAGTTTGAGATGAGTAACCTTGGAAGGCTCACATACTATTTGGGAATAGAAGTTCTGCAACATCAAGAAGGAATAACTTTGAGTCAGCGGCGTTATGCACAGAGAATTCTGGATGAGACTGGAATGAAAACCTGCAATCTTGTGCATACACCAATGGAGGCTGGATTAAGGTTATCAAAATACGAGAATGAGACAGAAATCGATGCCACATTGTTCAGGAAAAGCATTGGTTGTCTCAGGTACTTACTCCATACACGACCAGACATGTCATATTGTGTTGGGGTATTGAGCAGGTATATGCAGAGTCCTAGAGAAACACACGGCGCAGCTATAAAGCAGGTTTTAAGGTATCTAAAAGGCACTATATCTCTCGGTTTGGTGTTTAGAAGATCAAAAATACCAAAGCTGATAGGTTATAGCGACAGTAGTCACAACATAGACCCAGATGATGGACGAAGCACTTCAGGACATATTTTCTACTTGGGAGAGAGTCCTGTAACCTGGTGTTCTCAGAAACAAGACGTTGTTGCCTTATCTTCGTGCGAAGCAGAGTTCATGGCTGGGACAGAGGCGGCTAAGCAAGCAATCTGGTTGCAGGAGTTGTTATGCGAGATCATGGGAGGTTCTTGTGAGAAAGTTGAGATTCGTATTGATAATCAGTCTGCAATTGCCTTGACTAAAAATCCAGTGTTTCATGGTCGCAGCAAACACATTCATCGAAAGTTTCATTTCATACGAGAATGTGTTGAGAAAGGTCAGGTTGAAGTAACACATGTTCCAGGGAGTGAGCAGAAAGCCGATATTCTTACTAAGGCATTGGGAAGAATCAAGTTTAAAGAGATGAGAGACCTCATTGGAGTTCAAGACTTAGAGAAGATGGATTTCAAGCTTAAGGAGGAGAATGTTGGATTAAGCTTGGACATCAAGCAACACTAAAAGAGTTTTGGAAGTTATCCTAAAGTGTTTAGGAGTTAGCTAAACACATTGAGATTAGGATAAAGATAAATGGAAATGTTCCTTTGTGAGATTTTAGGAAGTTTCGTGTTATATATAAGTAGTTGTCGGTTGTGACAAAACTTATGATTTGAGAGATTGATTGCTTGAAGAGCTTTAGTTTTTGAGATAGTTTTCTAAAGCTAATAATAAGAAGAGAAGATCTTATTAATCTTGGTTTATCTTTTGCTTAAGTTCTATAAATGATGGATCAATAGGACATCTTGCTCCTCTCAAGCTACGAGTTATGACCTCGGCATATTCGCAAACTAGAACCGGGTAAGAGAACTCTAAGCAGCAACCTAACAGTTTCAGGAAGTTTTTGTGACCACTCACCATTGATGAAACCGCTAAGTCGCGGTATATCTTTTCAGAGAAAATTGATCCTCCATAAGCCCATTTCTTGATAAGCACGACACGGTCATCTAGCGTGCCTTTGTAGTGGCGGAATCTATCGATGCGGATAAGATTACTGCGGCTGAAGTTGTTGGTGGCTTCTAGGATCTGATCAGCTGAGAAGTTTTTTATAGGGTTTGGTTTAGCATCGTCACTAATCGCAATTAGCTCTTCAAGTAGTAAAGATCCATTCTTCATAAACATTTTATGTCGTTCGTTGACTTCTTGTTTTTTCTTTCTCCACCAAAACATCTTAAAGGTATAGTTTCAAACTATAGAGCAAGCAAAAATCGTATAGAAATCCAAGAAGAGTTTGATTTTGGATTTTGAAAGGAGATGACCAAAGATACAAGAAGCGATTTGGTTGGTCAAACTCAAGAACATCATATAATATAAAGTCCTCAGGACTTGTGTGTTGTAGGTGACAAGCACACGGTGGTTGGAAGGCTTAGAGAGCATCATCAGCGGTAAATGAGTTTTTTTTTCCTAAATGAAACTATTAATATTTTAATTATTTTATTTTTTATAAATTTAATTAATATACCACTAACTCGATAAAAAATTGGGTATTAAAGATTTTTTCTTTAATTTTTAATTTGTTACTAATAAACATGGTCAGTTAGTGTGTTTATTGACGAGTGAATGTGATTGAATTGTTTCTTATGCAACCAGCTAATTGCAATAATTAAGCTTTATATGTTGAATTCAACATAATCAATTTATAGTTTTATTCTAGTACAGCTGTACTTTGATTGATGTTTTACTCATGTTAGGAATAAGATAAGATAATGTTTTTTTTTGTTAAAATACAATTATCGTACAAAACAGTCAATATCATGAACGTTATGGTAGTATAAGGAAAATATATGGAAAAGACGAAAGAGAGAAAAAGGAAGAGAAGAACACATTTTATTTTTTATTAATCAGCAATACATAAAATTTGTCTGACCATAATCAAATTATTAGTTCTTCCGTCTTATTCACTTTGCCTGTCTAAACAACACATACAAAATCGGACATAGTAGAAATTGATAGAGAAATCAACTTCTTTTTTTTTTGAATTAAGCTTAATTTAGTTCAAGTAGTAGGTGAAGAGTGACACAAGGGAAGCTCCAACCAAAGAGCCAAGAACCGGTACGGCTGCAGAGGCTCCGCTTGTGGCGGGTCCTGGTGCCGGAGCTCCAACTTCGGTAGCCATGACGGCGGTCATGGAAGCAGCAGCGAAAAGAACTCCACAGGCAATCTTCTTCATCTCCATTTTTTTAGTTGAGACCTGAAAGGTTTTTTATTCTTCTTTTTTTTTTCTGGTAGTTTTATTACTTTTTTGTTTCTTGCAGGTCTGAAGAAAATTAGAGGCTGTTCAAGGGGATTTATACGGGAGGTAGGTAAGTTATTTTTAGGGAAGTTTATTTTTAGGTAACTAAATATAGCCAAATATATAGAAATTTGCATCAAAAATGTAAATTTAAGGAAACTCACCGTTGAATTTGTATTTCATTGTGTGGTGGCTTTGAGGCATTTAAGCGTTTCCACTTTCCATCCATAGATTTTACCGGGTCAAATGTATATTTCTAAGTTTGTAACTCTAATTAGTTTAGTTACAAACTTTTGAGATTTAACCAAAGTTAGTATACTTTCAATGTCTTAGCTTTGATTCTGTTGAAAACATCTCTATTGGAATACAAGTGTTTCATAGACTCCTCATTAGCACAATTTCTACCAATGATAATACAGTGACTCAAGCTCTGATGAAGTAAATGAGGCTCAAGACCCTTTGGATGAGGAGGAGGGCACTTGTTTTGGCAGTAAGTCTTTTTTTAGTACAAGTGTCTGTGATGGTGGAGCAGGACCAGGATAGGTTTACACGAACTTCTCTTTCACTACAATGCGACCGACTTTGAGCCCACAAGAGTAAGCCTTAGCCTAAGATGCGAAAAAGTTGTAAAGAGTTTTTTTTTTCTTTCAAGATGAAAGGACATGACATATGGAGATTCTTGTGCAATAATGTTCAAAAAAAAAAAAAAAGAAGAGATTCTTGTGCAAAGGACTCCCAACTTGTTCTTGATTGTCTCTTTCTTTCTGTCTTTCTGCTTTGGAAGAAGCTCTTTTCAATTTCATTGGCTGTTTTTTTTTCAAATTTCAACTGTTAACTTACACTAACTTCTGTTATTTTTTATTCCCAAGAAAAAATATAAAGATCAAGTTTATGTTTACATTCAAAATCTTGAGTCTTGTAATATCAATGAAAATTGTCTCATGAATCGACTCCCAAACTCTTTCAAGATTACAACGGACTATAGCTATCAGCAGTATCATCATCATTAGTATCAATGCGCAGTCTTAAGTTTGTTGGAACAAATTAAAATAGGGTGGTAACATTTCCACACATTCACATGCATGCATCATGATGCGTACGTGTATAGAATGACATCTTTTTTCTAAACAGTGTATAGAAGATACTTAAGACACATCTTACCATTAAAATATACAAAATGAGTACTATTCTTCGGAAATAATGCATTACAATCCACTACTAATCTGATCATCCGATCGACCATTTCGTCATTTAATTTTTATTTACGTAAATATTTGATCAGTGATTTCATTCAAAGCCGCTACAGCCTACAAATGCATGGTCCATTTTTAATTTGATATCAAAACGTACTACATGAACTCTGATGTAGTCTAAAACTGTGAGTGGTTGTAACTTAAACCCTCCCTGCGCCGGAAAACATGACACGTATAATATTAAACTAAGTTGTATAGGTATTCATTAGTTAAAAGTTGCTGATAAAATGTCATAAATATAATGAAAAGCATACCAGATTGATATAAGAAATTACAAAAAAAATCATTACCTATACTATCAGAAAAAGACGAATTTAAAACCGTAGTGACTTCTAGTACGTGGCAATGGACTTGTGTGGCATCTTCAAACCATTTAGATTCATATTTGATGCTGACATATGCAGTTTTGTCTTGCGGGAACATTCAACTAGTTAGACATGGCCACGTTGAAACAATCGTTTTGTAGTTGAGACGTGTATTATCATGTCTTTCATGGTGGGGTTCAAGCTTACCGACACTCCAACCATTTAGTTTCCGTCCGGATTCGGTTTCCTAATTTAATGAACCAAACCTGGTTTACTAATTTTGGCTTGATTTCCTCCAAGTATTTCGTTTTAATTCGTTTGTTCTTCCAGTTTATTTCCAACTTTTAATTCCTAATAAGCCTCATGGTATCATGCTAAACAATGTGAAGAAAGATAAATTTAAATTTTATTACTGTCTTTTTCTTACGACTATTTATTGTCTGTTACAACTCATGAAAAACAAGCACGTCTCCGAATGTTAAATGCAGTCGTTATCTACTGGACCAACGTTGTTTTCATGAAGAGGCCCTTTGTCATGTTTTAAATTAATAACCTTCTTGAAAATTCGATACTTGAGTATTTTTCTTTGTCTTGTAGTTTTATTTTTTCCACTAATTTAATTAAGAAAAACCTTTGACATTACAGAAGAGTATCTAAGCCCAAATAGATCAAACTACTTTGTTGCAGATCAGACCATGATAATCTTATTTTTTGCCTAGTTCCTAAAACCCTAGATGATGTTAACTCTCTACGGTCAAGAAAGCTCGCCGGACCGCACCAGCCGGGATGAGACGCCGGAGACTGTCGTGAGAGACATCCACGCACTTACTCCGGCGTCTACGACGGTGTTGCCACCACCTCCTGCCTTGCGAGGCTATTTTTCTCCAACTAGGTCGACGACTACTTCCATAAGCGAAGGAGCCTCTTCAGGTGAAAACTTCACAACCATAAGTAGAGAGTTCAACGCTCTAGTCATCGCCGGCTCATCCATGGGAAACAACAACGAACCAACGGCTCGTGAAGGTGATCAGGATTTGATGAGGAGTATCCACGAGGAGAGGGAAGATGAGGAGATGAACCCATTAGCCATCGTGCCGGAGCAGTATCCGGATTCGGGTTTGGATCATGGAAGTGGGAATGAGTCGGGTCAGGTTCAGGGTCGAGCTGGGATGACGTCGGTACAAAGGGTGAAGAGGGAAGAGGTGGAAGCTAAGATAACGGCATGGCAGACGGCAAAGCTGGCTAAGATTAATAACAGGTTTAAGAGAGAAGACGCCGTTATTAATGGTCGGGTTAACGAGCAAGTCCATAAGGCTAATTCTTGGATGAAGAAAATAGAGGTGAAATTTAAATTATAATTGTAATTAAACTTTCTTGTTCTAGCTAGGTACGATGATTAGTAACATAAACACAATCTATATATATTTATTATAGAGCATACATCTGATATAGTCTGGCTATGTATTATAGTTTGCCATATAATAATGGTAATTGATAGATCTTTGGAGTCAGTCCAAGTGGACTGTAGACAGGTGTTTCTTGAAAACAAAAAAAACAAAGAATGAGTGGTAGATAAATTTGATTAGATGAAGTGTTAGCTGTTAAGATTAGCTTGTTGTATATTTGCAATGTCTTTATAATATTATCTATTCATCATGTAAATATCATACTACGACGTGCGTGAAAACCTCTCTATTGTGTTATAAAAATGTAGAGGTATAAGGAAAATTATGTGGCCATTAGCATATTATAATTTGGTTTTGATGAATTCAGAGGAAGCTAGAGGAGAGAAAGGCGAAGGCGATGGAGAAAACACAGAACCAAGTGGCGAGAGCGCAGAGGAAAGCGGAGGAGAGGAGAGCAACGGCGGAGGCGAAGAGAGGAACGGAGGTTGCAAAAGTTGTAGAAGTTGCTAATCTCATGAGAGCCGTTGGTCGTCCTCCTTCCAAACGCTCTTTCTTCTCTTTCTCTTCCTAGTTCTTTTCTTGGTCAAACCATAAACTTATAGAATCTCATCATTGGATCTTATTTTTTCTTTTTGCTAAAAACAGGACTTTACTTCCAATTACTATGTACACATATATATAAGATATAGAAATACTGATTTGTGAGTTTCTAGCACCATAGAACTAAACAAATATTTTATTTTTATGGAAGATAGATAGTGTTATAGACCCCGGCTATTAAAGGTCCAAGACCTAACAGATATGATATTTTGGTGATATGGTTTGAAGAGAGAAGCAATCCATTGTGGGGAAATTGGATGTTCTCAACAACATTTAGCCCCAACTTTTATCATATCATACTTCTATAAAAAAAAGAGCACCAGAAATTACTTTTATTAGATAAGATATTTATAAAAAAAAGCACCAGAAATTGTACATGAATTTTTTTGTTAATAAGGAAATTGTACATGACACATGTTAATTTTAGACAAAAAAAAAAACTAAAACATGACATTCCCTTTCATATACATAAATAAAAATGTCATGCAATATATTGAGGTGAAATTTTATTTTCTTCTTGGATATAAAACAGGAAGATGATCGTGACTCGTGGTCCTATAATCGTTCTTTTTATTTAGGGGGGATATTTTTCAGATTTGCTTGGACATTACGGAAGAAAAGTTCTAAAAATAAATTATTACAGAAAGACATATGTCAAGGAAAAAAAAAACAGAAAATCAAGATAACAAGAAATACAGAGAGAGTTTGGGAAGGAAGGACTTCTTTCCGTGTTCTGTTTTAAAACCTTCCTTCCACATCTCTCTGTATTTGATGAGAAAGAAGAACATTTTGTTATGTGTGTCTTTCCATTCATTTGATTACAAGTCTAGGGTCCTTTGATTATAGGGTTCTTGTTCCTCCTTTTCACGTTTTCAAGAACATTAAATTGTACATAATGGGGAATTGCTGTGGAACGGCTGGATCTTTGATTGTTAATGAAAAGCTAAAGAAAGGTTTAAAACTTGCAAATCCTTTCTCCATCGACTACGGTCACCGCCACGACGGCGAGAAGCTTGTTGTCCTCAAGGAGCCAACGGGTAGAGAGATCAAGCTGAGATACAAATTAGGTCGGGAGCTAGGTCGAGGAGAGTTTGGTGTAACGTATCTATGCACAGACAACGAGACCGGAGATGTTTTTGCCTGCAAATCAATCTTAAAGAAGAAGCTGAGAACGGCTGTGGATATAGATGACGTTAGGAGGGAAGCTGAGATCATGAGGATTATGCCTGAGCATCCAAATATTGTCACGTTGAAAGAGACTTATGAGGATGACAAAGCTGTGCATTTGGTTATGGAGCTTTGTGAAGGTGGTGAGCTTTTTGATAGGATTGTGGCTAGAGGTCATTACACGGAGAGAGCTGCAGCTTCGGTTGTTAAGACAATCATGGAAGTTGTTCAGGTTTTTTATGGCATTAATGACCTATAGCATTGCTTGAGAGTCACGTCTTTGTTGTTTCTCATGATGTGTGTTTCTCATGTTGGTTTCAGATGTGCCATAAGCATGGTGTAATGCATAGAGACTTAAAACCTGAGAACTTCTTGTTTGCAAACAAAAAGGAAACTGCATCTCTAAAGGCCATTGATTTTGGTCTCTCTGTTTTCTTTAAACCAGGTAATACTTTTTATCTTAGATGCTTGGCCAAGAAGCAATATTTTAACCTAAAATTGTTTATCTTTGCAGGTGAGAGGTTTAATGAAATTGTTGGGAGTCCATACTACATGGCTCCTGAGGTGTTAAAGCAGTGTTATGGACCAGAGATTGATATTTGGAGCGCAGGAGTAATCCTTTACATATTGCTATGTGGTGTTCCACCTTTTTGGGCAGGTTTAGATATGTCACACACCTTGTTTTGTATCATTTTTTTTTTTTGTAGAATCATACAATGTTAATAGTCTTCTTTTTTATCTTGTTTGTTTCTAGAAACCGATCATGGAGTAGCCAAAGCGATTCTACGGTCTGTGATTGACTTCAGAAGAGACCCCTGGCCTAAAGTCTCTGCCAATGCAAAGGATCTGATCAAAAAGATGCTTCATCCTGACCCAAAACGTCGTCTCACAGCTCAACAAGTCCTTGGTATCATCTTGCTTTCATAATGCAAATGTTTTTGATATTCATATTGAACCAATGATAAGTAAAATTTTAACCATTGGTTAACAGAACATCCATGGATACAAGATGGTAAGAATGCTCCAAATGTTTCATTAGGTGAAACCGTAAGAGCAAGGCTTAAGCAATTCACAGTTATGAACAAGCTCAAGAAAAGGGCACTCAGAGTATGTACTTATAATCTCTTCACTTGAATTTTTTTTTTTTTTTTGTATCTTTTGAAAGAGCTTAAGATAGTTATGTTGTGGTATTACTACTTTAGGTTATAGCTGAGCATTTATCGGAAGAAGAAGCATCAGGCATCAAAGAAAGGTTTCAAGTGATGGACACTAGCAATAGAGGAAAGATTACCATCGATGAGCTAAGAATCGGATTGCGTACACTAGGAATTATCGTTCCTCAAGATGACATTCAAATCTTGATGGACGCGGTAAGCTCATAACCAATAGTTACTTGACACGCAAGCTATTAAGCAATGATAAAACTACAAGTAACTTTGTTTTATTACAGGGAGATGTTGATAAAGATGGATACTTAGACGTTAATGAGTTCGTAGCCATATCGATACACATCAGGAAGATGAGCAGTGACGAGCACTTAAAGCAAGCCTTTACGTTCTTTGACCAAGACAAGAGTGGTTACATCGAAATAGAGGAGTTACGAGAAGCCTTGGCGAATGAATTTGATAAAACTAGTGAAGAAGTTCTTGAAGCCATTATACTTGACGTTGATACCAATAAGGTTAGACCCATCTCTGAGGATAAAACATATTTTGTTGTGTGAAAAAAACCCTAAGGAAAACGGTTACTTGTGCAGGACGGAAGAATAAGTTATGAAGAGTTTGCAACGATGATGAGAACAGGAACGGATTGGAGAAAAGCTTCGAAGCAGTTCTCGAGGGATCGGTTTAAGAATCTTAGTTTCAAGCTGAAGCAAGATGGGTGCTTGCAGTTTAATAATGGCAATACAGTGTAGGGCTTGAAATCTGCAACACGGATACGTATTTGTTCTCAGTCTCAGAAGATTGAATTGAATCTGACTAAAGCAGGAAAATTATTTGTTCTTTCTTTTGGTTTTTGTTTCTGACTTTCTGACAACTTGTTAGTTTTTTATGGGGATCACAATTTAAGCTTTACCTCATTGGAGATAACTAAAAAGTGTCTCGATATATATTAGTGAATATCTAAAAATATAAAATTTCACCTTCATATTGTTGAGATACTATGTTCTATGTTAATCTACTAAAAAAAAGTAAAGGAAGGCTGTTGTGTACAACTTATCATTTAGTGTTTAATAATATATATATTTTAATAAAATAACTGAAATTTTGATTACCACTAAACTTTAAAATATACTAACCATGAATGATAATAGAAAAGACCAGGATCCCAAATAGGTCATGCATTCATCAATTGTCAGGCAAAATAGAGATTTAAGCGACAATGGTTCCTAAGCTCACACTAGTGGTCACACCAATGACGTTCAATAGACCTTTCTTCTCAGTCTCTTTGCTTATTCTGTTATTCATCTCATCATCTCTTGTCCTCATTGTATGGCTTATCCTCTTCTTGAATTCTTTAATATCCATCCCAAATCCGAAGATTTGATGATGAAAATCAACTTTTAGTTAGTGTTGTAGTTGGAAATTTTACCCATTGAAAGACTAAGAGAAAAAATGATTTAAAAGAAATTGTAAGGTATGTTTTGAGCTGATTGCCCATATGAGAATAGATCTTTTAATATAATACAGTGAAATCATGTTGGATTTATGTTCTACCACTTCTGTTTCGTTTGATAAAAAAAATAATTCTATTTCGTTTGACTTTGGTTTGATTAGTCGAACACGACGACACAATGAGGAGGCAGATTGATGAGAACTTAATGTTCTTTCCCTCAGTTTTTTAAATAAATAAGATTAAATGTTGACGTATAATAAGTTTGTGTCAGTATACAGCTAGCAAAATGTTAAAGAACAATATGGTATAGCAAATCTGGAGAAGTCAAACCATTTTTAATGTTATGGTGTGTGATTATGATTGTGAAATCGATTGTCAGGCCTTGTGTTATGAAGATATATTGCATCGAATGCTACTAGTTTCATTGGACAACCGGCTTTTCAACTTGTAGATTCACGATCGTGTATATATATAAGTTGTTTATGCACCAAAAAGAACATTTGAAAGTTGTTTTTTGTTTCTGTGCTAAAATTGCGCATATCTCGAATGCTACTAGTTTATCGGAAGTTGTCGACTTTTCCATCCATTTATTTCTCAATATTCTCATGCTAAGCTTCAAATCATTGATAGGTACGAACTCCTCTCCGCGGCGCTCCACACTCTTCATTATCAACGTTTTCCTGATGGTCTTCGTTTTCATGGAGACCGCCGCAAACAGGGGAGACAACGACACGCTGGCCGCAGCTCCGTCGTCCGTAGCTCCGTCGGTTGTCGCAACTGGTCGACCGATGCCTAGTTGAATACATTTCATATTTAAATTGTCGATGATTACATTATTTTTGTTGTGCTACTTGTGTGTATATTATATAAATATTATTATTATGTAGTTGTACTGAAGATAACATATATCCAAAGAACATACATTTCCTTAATTGACTTGATCAAAATATTTAATATACAAAAGATCATTTAGTTCTTAATAATTACTTATATTTTAATAAAATAACTAAAATTTTGATTAACACTAAACTTTAAAATATATTAAGCATAAATTATAAATACAAGATCTCCAAAAATAATAAGCATGTTGAATTCTATACAAGAGAGAATTTTCTTCAAATGATGAACAAGAACCTATAATTAATTAAGGAAGCTTTTTAGCAAAGACCAGGATCGCAGAAAAGTCATGCATTCATCCATCCATCCCTTCGGGTCACTCAAGCAAGCTTCACACATGCCTTACGATGTATATACGTTTTCATTTTACGTACGTCTATTAGATGTATTATATATATATATGGTATATTCAATAATTACGTACCGTGCGACGTGCGTTACGTTTAACTTAGTTTTTATTCAGAAAGATATGCACGTATGGGCACTAGTGTTTCCCGTTGTTATTGTAAATTTCATGTGGTGTATTAGTATTTGTGTAAGTTTAGAATCCGTAAGTCAGTTTTCTTTTGCGTTAACCAGTTTTCATTATATTAGAGAGCATCCCCATCAGTGAACCTGATGGGGAAGAATTCATAGGAAAAAAAATTAATTTTTTTTTCTGGTTTGCTTTTTCTAAAAAAAACAATAAATAAATTACCAACGGATCAATTGGAGAACGTCACGTGGCGAACCCCATATGAACCGGGTTCATCCCGACGAACCTCCAAGACCCGGGTTCACCAAAATCAACATATTTTATTTTATTTTTTTCTTGATCCGCGTGTGAACCTCCCCCAAGAACCTTCAGTGCGGATGCTCTTGTTACAAAATATAAGGTTCATGCATGATTCTAAACTTTCTAGAAACACAGAACAGGGATTTACTGCTCAATCATGTGTAACACATTGAAATTTTGACCACGTGTTGGATTTTAAATTCTCTGGCAATTGCACCAAAGTAAAAATGCTTAGCTAAATATGAGGATTTATTCAACGGGAGACACATGTTTGAGATGTTCTTAACTCTCGTTAAGACACGTGCTGCGCCTAACTTTGCATCCCATACCCAATTTGTGTGCCGCGGAACAATGGTTGAATGTACGTATCTAGTTTTGTTTGGAACATATTTGTTTCTAAAGAAAATAAACAATTTGATCGATATTATTTGCTTCATATAAACCAATTTACGTGGGTGATGGGATGAATAAAATATGCATTTTTTTGTAGCCAATAACGGTCCGACTTGACAAACAAACAAACAAAAAAGTGTAATACATATGACGTTGCTATTTTGACCATGTAATATAAAAGGCCAAATTTCATTCTTTCAAAATAAGTAATGAGATCAAGACGGAAGAAAATGCGGCAGTCACATGAAAGGTAGTTATCGCCATTTCAACTTGAACTTTCACCAACATATAAGTTCGTTTTTTCTTTGCTAAAATTACGCATATCTCTATAGTACACGATATCACGACTCTCATTTACGATAACACCTATTTTCGTATTGTGTATCTTGCACGTAAATTTGAATTTGAAAAGATTACACAAAAAAACATATGAAGTTTATACTATATATCATATCGTTTTATAGTTATTAAACATGCATATGTAAGAAAAAACGGTACAACATACGTAATCTGCTAAAAAAAAATTTAGAAAACTGGCCAATGATGATACTCATGTGACTGACTTAATTATGATGAACCATCTACACTAATATCTATTATATTAAAAGAGAAGTCATGACTCACTTCATGTGTGATATTTTAGTTTGGACCATCTTTAGAGTTTTATAAAATTTTACATAACATTATAATATCTTTTCATATCTTTAATTTTTGTTTAGAATACAAATAAATAGTTTTAAGAAAATTCTAACAAAATCTTTTAAAAATCTTTTAGAATCTTTTTCAAGATATAGTTTCACAAATTATTTGATTAAAATCTTAATTATCATACAATATAATTATCATAAAATATAATTAAAATTTTAATTCATTTTTAACTTATAAACAAAAAATTAAAATTATGTAAAATGCTTTTAACAATATCCCAAAATTTTGTTTATGTATTATGTAGGTCCAACTTAATTAATTTTTACATAGATTTCAAATTTAGAAATAAAACAAGATATATAAATTAGTAATCTTACATAATAATGTTTTTTTTAAATTATTACAAAAATACAAATTTATAAATTTTATATTAATTATATTAGAAGTCACATAAAAAATGATTATAAATTGGATAGCATAAAAAATCAAATTATTCTTATTTATTGATAAATTTTATTATATAATTTCAAATATTTTCGTATTAAAATACCCGTACGGTTGTGCGGGTCGAAATCTAGTTAATTGTTAAAAATTCATAGCAACATCATAAATCCGTCGCTCATAACAACAAGTGTAAGTTCAATTCACATTTTGACCATTCATTTTATTGAATAAAAAAATTGTACAGGTAATGGTTTTAGTCAATTAAACCAATAATGTATGACTATAATAAAGAAAAACCTCCAGTGGCCTTAAATCATTAGGCGATGTTTCTTGCAGAAAATACGATAAGCATGGTCTCGCTAAGAGACAACATAAATCAATAATAGATTAAACAAGAGAGAGTAAATGTATGAAACTCTAAAGAAAGAAAAATATATATAAAACATAAAATGTAGATGCCTAAAGTAGTATTTACGTGACAATCTCAATTTCACTCCATACCTCGAACTCATTAAAGCTTAAGAAACCAAACTTTTACTGTTACTTTGAATGGCCTTATAAATACACGTTCGTGGACACTTCTCCATTTCAAAAACAAACCAACAGAAGGACAAGAATCACAAACATCAAACATTTCTCAATCTACTCCCAAAAACTACACGTATTCCTTACCAACCTCAAATGGCTTGTTGTTGCAAACTTCTTAGTGGCTTCCTGTTATGGGCTCTTTTGATGCTCTCATGGTGTGAAGCTTCACGAAGCAGCATTAATAGAATGTTCAAATCCGATAGCTTGATCAAGCGAAGAGACGATAGTACACGTTTGAAAAGCTTTGTAAGAGTCTCTTCGCAGCCTCCAACCACTGTTAGTGTGTCTGATTTTGGAGCTAAAGGAGATGGAAAAACCGATGACACGCAGGTATATATATGCATATACACATACTTCCTAGGATCATATCCATAATATCGTATATCATCAATATATGCACGTGACTTTCTACATAAATTGAGACGGTCATGTATACCAATTTTTACGTTGTTTGTTTTAATGATCCATGCATGCATGTATCACCAGGCGTTCATGAATGCATGGAAGAAAGCATGTTCTTCAAGTGGAGCTGTTAATCTCTTAGTTCCTGAAGGGAATACTTACTTCCTCAAGTCTATTCGATTAGATGGTCCATGCAAATCAATTCCTACCGTTCAGGTAAATTACAAAGTTGACTATTTAATTTGTACCATATATATGATTACAAAATATGGATTTGAAAATTTAAATGACCGTTTTCTGGATGGAACTACAGATCTTAGGAACGTTATCGGCATCTCAAAAACGATCTGATTACGAAGATCTCAGCAAATGGATAACGTTACGTTTGATAGCGTTAATAGCCTATCTGTAAATGGTGGAGCCAGTGGAGCTGTCAACGGAAACGGCGAAACGTGGTGGCAAAACTCATGCAAACGGAACGAAGCTAAGGTGTGTGTGTATGTAAATGTTTCATTCAGTTAACATACATCTACATGTCATCTTTATAATATAATGGAGTTATTGGAGATATTAACGCTCTTTTTGTTCTTTTGTGTATGAAGCCATGCACAAACGCCCCAACGGTACGTTGAAATACTAATGATTTTTTCATATATAATAACGATGATGGTTTTTATCGTATTTGGATAAAAAAATTTACACGAATAAATTATTTATATGCAGGCTCTCACTTTCTACAACTCGAAGAATTTGAGAGTGAATAACCTGAGGGTGAGAAATGCGCAACAGATTCAGATTTCGATAGAGAAATGCTCCAACGTTCAGGTCTCAAATGTAGAGGTCACTGCGCCTGCTGATAGTCCTAACACCGATGGTATTCACATCACTAACACCCAAAACATTCAAGTCTCCAAATCCATCATTGGAACAGGTTAATATCATATCCATTTACATACCCTTGAGTAAAAAGAGTTGCTTGCATATCAAGGAAGCTAAAGTTCATGGATTTTACTGGATTTTATCATTAGAATCCGTGAAGATTGGTCTTAATGATTGTTTTTATATGCAGGTGATGATTGTATATCTATTGAAACTGGATCACAAAATGTTAAAATCGATGATTTAACTTGCGGTCCTGGTCACGGTATCAGGTATCATCAATGAATGTTTCAAGTATATACACCTGAATGTTTTCAACCGTAATCATATAAAATTATATAAATATCTGATATTTGCTTTTGGAATATGAACAGCATTGGAAGCCTAGGAGATGACAATTCAAAGGCATTCGTATCAGGCGTGACTGTAGATGGTGCTAAGCTTTCAGGTACATACAATGGAGTTAGGATCAAAACTTATCAGGTGAAACTCACAAACTAACCCCCCTTCCGTTTTAACCAGCCTTCTTACTTTTACCACACTTCGTCACTTCGTTTCTTATTTTATATTTAACTCAATTCAGGGAGGGTCAGGAACTGCCAGGAACATTATATTTCAGAACATTCAGATGGACAATGTGAAGAATCCAATCATAATCGACCAAGACTATTGTGACAAGAGCAAATGCACTGAACAGGTTTGCTCGAATCCGATCAAAACTTATAAGACTCAAGGGTAATTGGATCTAATCACTATACAACATATTTTCAGAAATCAGCGGTCCAAGTGAAGGACGTGGTGTACCGGAACATAAGTGGCACAAGCGCATCGGACATGGCAATAACGTTGAACTGTAGCAAGAACTATCCATGCCAAGGAATTGTCCTTGACAAAGTGAACATTAAGGGAGGGAAAGGAAGTTGCAGCAATGCTAATGTGATGGACAAAGGCACTGTTTTCCCTCAGTGCACATCCACTTAATTAATTAGACCTACCAAACACACGTATAAATACACATAGCTACGGAGTATACAATAGTATGCTATATACACATATACTTGTGGATAGTATAGGAATATACACATAAATAGCATGCTAAGAGATCTATTGTTTCATTGTGTACTACACTTACTGTATTGTTTGTCTAAAATTCATGAATAAAAGATTACGTTCTTTAAGTTGTTATGGAGTATGGACCTATAGAGCACCTCCAATGGGAGTTCTTAGGAAGAAGTTCTCAAGGAAAAAATAATTAAATAATCAGTAGACCTTACAAAAAGTTAAGGATTCGATCCTTAAAATCTCTAAATAAAGACTGTTTTTTAGCGAATCCTTATACTATTTACGGGTCCCCAGGACACGTGGCAGTCCGTGAATGGTCTTTTAAAAAAATAAAAAAATAAAAATCCGAAATATCCTTATCAAATCCGAAGTATCTTTTTTTTAAGGATTCCTATAAGTCTCACGGTTGGTTGCAGATGCTTTAGTGCTATTCTTTTTACTTAAAAGACATGAAAAATGAAACTTGTGGTCAATTATGTGTTGCTCAGAAAAAAAGTCAGGTCAATTATGTTACTTGACCAATAGATTAAAGCTAAAATTAATTAATGAAAAGTGACTTTTATTTATCCTTTTTAAAAGACCGGGCCGATAATTTAACTTGGCCACAAGCCCATTATGAGTGTTACCAAACAAACCTTGACAAGGCCTTTAGAAACCCTAGAATCCTTTTGCAACATATATAAGACAAAGCCTAGGGTTTTCGCTTGCTCACTCTTAACACACATCGCAAACTCTTAGCAAACTCTCGACAAAAATGGCGGAACGTGGCGGAGAACGTGGTGCCGAGCGAGGTGGAGACCGTGGTGGTTTCGGACGTGGATTCGGAGGACGTGGCGACCGTGGAGGCCGTGGGGGTCCAAGAGGTCGTGGTGGCAGACGTGGAGGACGTCCAGCCGAAGAGGAGAAGTGGACGCCAGTGACCAAGCTAGGCCGTCTCGTGAAAGAAGGAAAGATCCAGAAGCTGGAGCAGATCTACCTCCACTCACTCCCCGTCAAGGAGTACCAGATCATTGATCTCCTCGTTGGTCCAACTTTAAAAGACGAGGTGATGAAGATCATGCCTGTTCAGAAACAGACGAGAGCTGGTCAGAGGACGAGGTTTAAGGCCTTTGNCCAGTGACCAAGCTAGGCCGTCTCGTGAAAGAAGGAAAGATCCAGAAGCTGGAGCAGATCTACCTCCACTCACTCCCCGTCAAGGAGTACCAGATCATTGATCTCCTCGTTGGTCCAACTTTAAAAGACGAGGTGATGAAGATCATGCCTGTTCAGAAACAGACGAGAGCTGGTCAGAGGACGAGGTTTAAGGCCTTTGTTGTTGTCGGAGACACGAATGGTCATGTTGGTTTGGGAGTGAAATGCTCTAAGGAGGTTGCTACGGCTATTAGAGGTGGGATTATATTGGCGAAGTTGTCTGTTATTCCGGTTAGGAGAGGTTACTGGGGGAATAAGATTGGGAAGCCACATACGGTTCCTTGTAAGGTTACGGGGAAGTGTGGTTCCGTTACGGTGAGGATGGTTCCTGCTCCGAGAGGTGCGGGGATTGTTGCTGCTAGGGTTCCTAAGAAGGTTCTTCAGTTCGCTGGGATTGATGACGTGTTCACTTCCTCGAGAGGATCGACCAAAACTCTTGGAAACTTCGTTAAGGTTTGTTCACTCTTCCTTTAGTTAGAGCGATGCGTTTTGGAATGTTAGAGAATCTTTGAATGATTGATTAGTACCATTATGAGTTACAATATAACCTCATTTTAAATTATTCATTTGTAATTAGTTGTGTAGCTTTTGTGAGATTGATGAATGATTCATCTACTGTGTGATTATTTGCAGGCGACATTTGATTGTCTTCAGAAGACATATGGATTCTTGACACCAGAGTTCTGGAAGGAGACGAGCTTCAAAAAATCACCGTACCAGGAGTACACTGATTTGCTGGCAATGAAGGAAACTACGAGCAAAGTCATCACCGAGGTTGTTGAAGACCAGGCCTAGAATGTCCTCCAACCTTTTGGATTTTCCTTGATTTTGGTTGAACTTTGCTGGATTGCATCTTATATGTTTTCATCTCCTCTTCCCAAAAAAACTGTTACTTTTCAATTTTATGGATGGATAATGTTTTAGCCTTCTTTTTTTGTGTGTTTCAATTCAAATCCAGTTTCTTATTTTACATTTGTGAGAATTTTAGTTTTATTATATCTTACCGAAACAAGTAACACAATCTCGGATTCTATTTCTATACGAAGAAATCATAACATTGAATTCTAATTAAAAAAATAAATTTTAAATCTAAGTTGCTGTATTACATAAAGACGGCTCAGATATTTGGTAATTTTTAAAAAATCAGTAACGGAACGGAGAAGGTGGAACCCGCGGCGAAACCGTATCTGAGGAAGATCATTACTAGCAGGAAGCTTGCCGCACTCTCCGGCGATTCTACTCGCAGAAACACGATCAGAGAGAGCTTTGATCAAAGTTTTCAATCAACTGAGCTTTGATCTGAGGTAAAATTGAATCGAAATTGTAATTTGCAGTGTTGTTGATTGATCGGAGAGTGATTGTTTTCATGTACTCAGTGAATGATTTGAATTTGCGTTCGGTCCTCAGCTCTGAAACTTTTTGGATATTTTCAGGTGAGGGATTGAGAGTTTTGAAGGAGTGCCTCGTGGAGGTCTGTTTTCCTTCTTTGGCCGAGGAAGCTCTAGGGCTTTTTTCGGTTGATCAAGAGGGAGGAGGACACACTTTGAAAGAGATTCAACAGGAATTTTTGTTTGGTAGAATCAGAATGGGCGTATTCTCGGGTTTGATCTCGAGGAAAGTTGTGCCTGCTTGTGGTAGAATTTGCATTCTTTGCCCTGCGTTGCGTCCTAGGTCTAAACAGGCTATCAACAGATACAAGTATCTCATTTCTGATATCTTCCCTGCTCGTCATCAGGTTGACTACTTGATTTTGACTTATAATACATTGCTCCCCATGATATTCCAAGCTCAAATCAGCCTCTCTGATACATTATATCATGACTAGTTCTGCAATATTTGTTAATCTTTCTTGCTTTTCCTTTTCTATGTTAAAGTTTATTGCCTATCCATGTCTGCTCGCTTTGACTTACACCCATACTATAAGAAGCTCAAATCAGCCACTCTTTGGCTCAAGTGACGTTTTTGATGATGAAATGATGACTAGTTCTGCAATATGTTTCCTCAGTGGCTTAAAATTTGGCTTTCTTAATGTTGGTTGCTTTCCCTTTCCATGTTGAAGTTTGTCCATTTCGCTTTTGAGTCATTGTGGATGAGACATGATGTTCGCTCTTGGTTAACTTGTTTAACTCTCTCACTGCAGGTGGAAGGCCCTAATGACCGGAAGATAGGAAAACTATGTGAGTACGCTGCAAAGAACGCTGTACACATGCCAGAGGTAATGTAATAATTCATCCAGCGCCAAGTCTAGCTACAACATATATTTTGAAACAATCTTATGTTATTAACTTAGTATTGAGTTTTAGCATTTCCTTGACATTTGGTATTAGTCGGTTCATATAGTTAACTACTCACACTACTCGTTATAGCAATGTCGTAAGCTTGCTTTTCTCCCATGTTTTATATCTCTGTGTGTTGTAATTTATGATTTTACAGATATCGTATTTGCTCGAACAAAGATGTTACAAGGAATTGAGGAATGAGAAATTTCAGTCGGCTAAGATTGTCATGTGCATATACAGAAGGCTTCTGGTCACTTGTAAGGAGCAAATGTGAGGTCATCCTTCTTTAGCTTTCTTTTACAAACACTTGATATGTTCTCTTGTTTCCAAGATGTTCTGTGGCTTAACATAAGAACCCAAGAAACTTACTCGAATGTTGTAACCAAGAAACATAAGAACCCAAGAAACTAAGTTAATACCATAACTTTCTAGAAACGGGATTATTCCGACATGTATTGGTAACTTGATCACTGTTCGCTGTTCTTTTTTTCTTTCAGGCCACTTTTCTCTAGTGTTTTTTTAAGGACCGTGCAAGCTCTTTTGGATCAAACTCGACATGTTGAAATGCAAATAGTTGGATGTCAGTCTCTTTTCGAATTTGTAAATAATCAGGTCAGCTTATTAATGCTTGATAGAATTCTCTTGTGATCACAAGTCAGGGTACTTTCAGCTAGAAAAGTTAAGAACATAAGAGATAATGAAATAGCATGATTGATTCATGCTATCAATTTTTGCAGAAGAACGGCAGTTCCATGTTTAACTTAGAAGGTTTTCTCCCAAAGCTGTGCCAATTAGCACTGGAAGTTGGGGATGATGACAGGTCCCGGAGCCTGCGTGCAGCAGGACTTCAAACCCTTTCAGCAATGGTAACTCCGTTATGCTGTTATGTCTGTCTTGGTACTATTCTTCTAAACTGTAAATCTACAAGTATTTTCTAATGCATTCTGGTCTTTATCTATTTCTAGATTTGGCTGATGGGTGAATACTCTCATATTCCCAGCGACTTTGACAATGTAAGTAGATCTCAGGTTCATGCATTACTTTATTTTGACTTCGTCAAAGTTGTAGGTAGTACATGCTAATAACTGTTAACAGATCAATACAATACTTGCATGGCAGGTTGTCTCAGGAGTCTTAGAAAATTATGGTCACCCCAAAAATTTAACCAATGCTAATGATAGTGGCAGAAAATGGGTGGATGAAGTCTTGAAAAATGAAGGTCACCTAGCTCATGCAGATTCCCTCATAAATGGTCCTTGGAGAACGGTTGTGAATGACAAGGCTGAACTGAATGTGAAAATGTAACTTTCCTTCTTCAGTTGTTCTTACGTTTGTCTTTTTGGATTCTTTCCTCCTCTTCAATGTATCTTTTCTTTTTCAGGGAGGATTCTTTGGACCCTAGCTTTTGGTCCAAGGTTTGCCTACACAACATGGCCAAGCTAGGTGAAGATGCCACAACCATGAGACGGATACTCGAGTCTTTGTTCCGTTACTTTGACGAGGGACATCTATGGTCAACCGAAAATTCTATTGCATTCCCAGTTTTAAGGGATCTGCAGTTTCTAATGGAAATATCTGGTATTACGCTCTCAATAATTTTCACTCATCCCTTCCCTTCCCTTATGACCATTGTTCTAAAATAGTTCTGCAATCTTGCAGGACAACGAACACACTTTCTACTGTCCATGTTAATTAAACACCTTGATCATAAAAATGTGCTTAAACAGCCAAGCATGCAGCTCAACATTTTAGAGGTTACCTCCTCCCTTGCTGAAATCGCAAAAATTGAACACTCAGCAGCAATAGTCAGCGCAATTAGTGATACCATGAGGCATTTGAGAAAATTCATGTATTCTTCTCTTCATGAAGCAAACCTGGGAACTGAAGTGGTAAACTGTAACAGATTGATCAGTGTAGCTGTCGATAAGTGCCTTGTCCAACTGACCAAAAAGGTATATTACTGTTGAGCGAATTTTATATCTTCTTGTTTCCTCAATATGTTCTTTAAAGAGATGTGTGCCTGATTTGTCAATTTTCCAAAGGTTGGAGATGCTGGACCAATTCTTGATGCAATGGCTATGATGTTGGAGAATATCTCAGCTGTCACAAATGTAGCAAGAACCACAGTTGCTGCTGTTTTTCGCACTGCTCAGATTATAACCTCCATACCAAACCTCTCATATCAAAATAAGGCAGCCTCACTGTAACATCTAGTATTATCATTTTTCTCGTCATTTAGAGATTAGTCCAGTTTTAATGAAACTTATCGCTTCTTCTTCGTTTCAGGCTTTTCCCGAGGCCTTATTCCATCAGTTACTGCAAGCTATGGTCCATCCAGATCATAAGACACGGATTGGCGCCCACCGTATATTTTCTGTTGTTCTGGTACCAACCTCAGTCTGCCCCCGTCCCTCTTCAACCACTACTGACCTTAAGAAGGGAATGGGTCTTCCTCGTTCTCTTTCAAGAACCGCGTCTGTCTTTTCCTCCTCAGCAGCCCTTTTCCAGGAGCTGAGGAAGCACAATTTTTCGTCAGTTCTAACTTCTTTTCAGGGTGAAAACGAAATTCTTGAGGAAGAATCTGGAATCAATAATGGGGAAATCTTTGACAGATTAAAATCTTCATACAGTCAGGCGTATAGTAGTTGGAATCAACCGGTGAACTCGGTAGCGGATAACACGGTAGTTCGTTTGAACTCTGAGCTGGTACATCCTTGCAACTCTCTTTGTGTAATACTCCCTAGGATCTCAACTTATTTTCAGGATGGTGCCAAGGGTAGATCGTATAAATGATTACAAAGTAGTCTCTAGAAACCACAATGATTTCTATACACTACTCTAACTTATAACTGTGATTATAATCATATACAAAGTCTTCATATTAGGTGCCGTAAGATGGCTACATCTCTACCACTCTCTACAATAGTAAACTATAACTTCAAAGGGGTCGTTCTATAGTGTTCAGCATTCATTTAATCTGCTTAAGATTGAATTTAAACCTGTTGCAGCTGTTACCTATTTTTATGCATAAAGTTCTAGGGTACACCTTGGATCAGTCTCCATTCTCTAATATGATTTTTTATATGATGATCAGGACGTTGTTTATATAAGGCTAAGTAGTCACCAGATAAGTCTTTTGCTTTCATCAATCTGGGCGCAGTCCATATCTCCTACAAATACGCCAGACAACTATGAGGCGATTGCTAACACCTACAGTCTTGTATTGTTGTTCTCTCGTGTCAAGGTAATTTATGTTGCATATCTCAATACTTACTACCTCTGCATTTGAGTGTTTCTTATTGTTTTTAACATGTATGAGCTAAGTCTGACTATGTCTCCTTATGGATTATTTGCTTACAATAACATATCTAACTTCTTATCTCTCAGAATTCAAGTCACGACGCTTTGATTCGAAGTTTCCAAATGGCACTTTCTTTGCGAGATATTTCTTTAGTGGAAGGAGGTGAGCTTCCACATGTTTTTGAGCCTTTATCTTTGGTTTTTGGTTTGGAAACTATGATGTACACTCTTATGAGTCAATTATTCGTCATATGTTCAGGACCACTCCCTCCGTCCAGACGAAGGTCACTCTTAACTCTGGCTACATCAATGGTTCTTTTTGCCTCGAAAGCATTCAACCTTTTTTCTCTGACGGATTTTACAAAAGTAGCACTTCAGGAACCAAGGGTACGCCGATTATTCTGTTGAAAATGTTCATGTTGATGTTTTGTTTCTTTTCGAATTATTGCACTCCAACTCAATTTGTTACACAACATTATCGAGCTCATGAAAGTCACACGAGACCTCTATGCTTTAACTTCCTCTTCTGCCTGATTCAGCTTGATCCATTCTTGCACTTGGTTGAAGATCACAAGTTAAAAGCTGTAAATCCAGATCAGCTGCAGACTGTTGCGTATGGGTGTCAAAAAGATGATGCTTCGGCTCTAGATACACTTTCAAACATAGCAGTCTCCACTGAGCATAGCAGAGGAACCCTTGTCTCTGAAATTGTCAAAAGCTTAGAAAATATGTGCAATGTAAGTCGTTTCCTATCACTACCTCCCCACTAAATTTCTCTGGCCTAATTTAGCTTTCTGTGTTTTGGTAAATCAGTTGATAACCACAGTAAACTATTTTTCAGTCTGAAGTGGAGAAAATGCGAGAGCAGCTGCTCACTGAATTCACGCCGGATGATGCATGTCCACTTGGAGCCCGCGTTTTAGAGGACACTCAGAAACCCTTTCAGGCTGACTTTAGAGATGCTAAACCCCAAAACGTATTAGCTCTTCTGTTTACCATAACTCTTTAAACCCCTGAAATTGGAAATTGTGTTGAACTTTGGTCTGTATCTTCAGCTTGGGGCACTCTTCTCTCACGAGGATCAAGAATTTGGAGATGTCACTGAAACAGTTACAGATGATGATCCTGTAACAGTTGCTGGAACCCCAGACCTCCTGACTGTGAATCAAATTCTAGAATCTGTAAGTTACACTAGAAATTAGATTTACAGATTCATCACCATAATTAGTTTGATGCTAACTATACTTATTTTTGTTTTGTTGAAAGGTCGTAGAGGCGATACGTCAAATGGGTCTAATATCCTTCCATACTTCAGCTGATGCTTCATACAAAGAAATGGCTCTTCATTGTGAGAATCTGTTAATGGGAAAACAGCAGAAGATCTCGAGTCTTTTGAATCCTCAGCTACGTCATGAAAGTTCTGTTAACGGCTCTTCAACACAGCATGATGAAGAGATTAAGATGGCAACTTTTCATCCTATGATCAATTTTCAAATCGAGGTAGTACTCTCTTTTATATTGTCTACGGAGTTCTGATCTGCTGACCCTTTTGATTTCCTAAATCTGTTTAGGACGACGTCTCTTTACCGAGGAAGGATTTTGACATGAATTCGCCAAGAACACCACTGGGAACTATTCAGACACAGTGCTATTCAGAATTCCCAACTAACCCACAAGCATATAAACTACCAGCCTCAAGCCCTTATGACAGCTTCCTTAAAGCGGCTGGCTGTTGATCCTCTGGGGAGGATCCAGAGCCATGATACTGACTTACATTCAGTCAAGAAGAACTCAGAAGAAAATAGGTTTGCTTGGTTTTCAAACTCTATAAGTAACTTTTTTTTCTTTCTGGTGTGAAGTGTAAAAAACTAAGAAGAGGCCATCTGATTTTCAATTGGTCTTGTAGTCTAGCGATTCTTTGATTCTACAAGAACGGCTTTGTTGAACAGTTTCTAACAATAATGTACATTGATTCTTCTGTGATCTAATGTAATGCAATTAGATAAGCAAAATAAGCAACTCAAGATTGCATTTCATCATAATAACTCTACATAATACACAGATAAGAGAAGCTCGCATTTGTAGGAATGCTTTTTTGTATGTGAATGTCACAAGAAACTATATATCATCATATTCATCCTCTCATTTACTTTGGTTAACCTCTTGGAGCATTTCAACTACTTTCTTCATCTTTGGCCTTTTTGCAGGTGTGATATCTGTGCAAAGCAATGCAACTTTCAGAGCTGCGAGCATCTCCCTCCTCCAAGCAAAGGATACAGTGCTAAGCTTGGCGTCAAGTATCTGTTCCGGTGTTTCTTCTCTCCCTGAAGCTCCATGAACCCATTTCACCAAATCTACTCCTTCACCAAACTCTTCCTCCACCGGCGCTCTTGAGGTTAGAATCTCAAGCAACACGACTCCGTAGCTGTATACATTCCCCGGTGCAGTCACTTGCATTGTGTATGCATACTCTGAGGGAGAAAACAAAGAGATATGTTGGACTTTATGAAGTTATTAGTAACAGAAACTAAGACTATATTATACCTGGAGGAATGTACCCAAAGGAGCCAGCAACTGAGCTTATACTTGCAGTGCCTCGTGATGGATCTAATAATTTCGATATTTCGATTTCTCCAAGCACAGGTTTGTAACCAGAATCTAGTAAGACATTGCTAGAGGAAACATCAAGGTGAATAATGGCGACACTGTGGAGAAACGCTAAGCCTTCTGCTACTCCAACGGCTATGGACAGTCTCATTGGCCAGTCTGGTTGGTACTCTGGCTTCTTGGAGGACTCATGAATCAGCTGAGATAAGTTACCATTAGGTAAATGCTGATGCAACAAGAGAGCAACATCTTCATATATAACAAACCCGATCGGTGTAACCAAATGGTCATGGCAAAGTTTGCTGAGTCTTTCAAGCTCTCTGATCATCTTGTTCTGATGCTGAGTTATGGCTCTATCCATGGACTTTAGTTTCTTCACAGAAACAATCATACCTGAAGGCATGACGGCTTTATAAACCGAACTGAATGTTCCAGTGCTGAGTTTATTTGACTCCTTCATGGTTGCTTTCACAACTGCATCTAGATCAATCCCTTGTTTAAGATTCTCAAGGAAGACATCTCCGGCTATAATCGCCGGTTGCTCATCCTCAACGTGTTCTTCAACTTCAACGTTTTTACCCGCTGCTTTCTCTTGTTTCTCCCTCATCATGAAGAGAACAACCACCACAGTGACTGATACAAAGACAGCAACACCTGAACCAATCACTGCAAGCACTATCCTGTAGGAGACTCTGTGATTGTATCTCGAATGTTCAATATCATCAGAGTATCCACACGAAGAGCTCAATGGCGCTCCACAAAGCTCTTTGTTTCCAAAGAAGCTCGAGTTTGGAGACTTTTGGAAGGGGACAAAGACTGGAACTGGACCGCTCAAGAAGTTGTTTGAGAAATTAACTTCGAACAAACTCATCATACCTTTTAGTAGTTGCGGTATGGTTCCTGTAAGCATATTGTTAGAGACATCTAGTGACACGAGCTTGTCAAGCCTTCCTAACTCGGCTGGCAATGGTCCATGAAGATGGTTGAAACTCAAGTTGAGTGCTATCTGCAAGCTCCTCATGTGACCAATCTCAGGAGGAATGGTTCCCGTCAAGTAATTTCGACCCAACTGGAGCTCAAGCAGCTTGAGACAGTTTCCAATCTCATGTGGTATGTCTCCTCTTATGGAATTCTGATCAAGGAGCAGATACTGAAGCCTTGGCATGCTGCAGAGTTCCTTAGGGATGGTGCCGTTGAGTCTGTTGTTACTTAAATCAAGCTTGTTGAGGTTTCCACATCCAAGAAGCGATTTAGGGATCTCCCCAAAGAGACTATTACCAGAGAGAATCAGTTCTTGAAGATTCATGAGCTGACCAAGCTCTGTTGAAATGGTTCCAGTGAACCCATTAGCTGCCAGGTTCAGCAGAGTGAGGTTAGAACACTTCGAGAACTCTGCAACAATCTCACCTGAGAGATTGTTAGTGTCTGCTTCAAAGTAGGTAAGTGCACTTACGTTTCCTATTGTCCTCGGAATGACTCCTACAAGCTCGTTATTCCCAATCCTAATGCTGGAGAGGCCGCTGCAGATTCCCACCTCTTCAGGGAGCTCACCGGTCAACCTATTCTGTGTCAAGACCAAAACTCTAAGCTTCCCTTTCTCAAAAATATCTTTTGGAATCTTCCCCACAAGCTGGTTTGAGTGAAGATTCAACAGTTCCAGTTCAGAAACCAAACCTAACCCTTTAGGTATCTCACCAACCAACTCATTCTCATAAGCTGTAAACACTCTGAGATTGCTCAGGTTCCCTACCCAGTGAGGTATAGAACCATTTAAGCCATTCTCAGAGACATGAAACTCCTCTAACTTCTCTAGAACCATAAGCTCATCAGGTATCTCTCCCACAAGCAAGTTATTTGAAACGTTGAGTGATCTAAGCCCTGTAAGGTTACCAAACTCAACTGGAATCCCTCCAGCAAAACGGTTCAGAGACAAATCAAGAAACTCAAGCTCAGACAAGTTGCCAAGAGATGCAGGAATTGGTCCGGTGAAGCTGTTACGAGAGAGATCTAGATGCTTTAAGCTTCTGAGGTCAGAGATTAAAGTTACATTACCTCTAAGCTGAAGCCCTGAGAGATCAAGCATTTCAACAAAAGAGTTGTTGGCACCACCACACTTGAGCCTATCCCAAGTACAATAGTCTGTGCCATTGCTACCCCATCCTGGAACTCCAAACTCTCTTTTAATGGCTAACAATGCAGCTTCATCGCTTAGCTGAGCTTCACCAAGGTCAAATTTTGATAGGAACCCAAGAATCAGAAGAACTGACATGCACCATAATGCCATTTTTTGAACTTCACTCTTGTTCTTCTTCAAGCAAACATACACAACAGAAAGTGATTGATTGACAAAAACACCATTTGTTAAGTAGCATCAAGAAAGTGAGAAAGGAATAGTAAAGTCTTGCTCTTTTGGGCGTGAAACACGGATTAAAGCTCTGTTTTTGGAGTCAAAGTAACTGTTTATCGAAACAATCTCAGATTGTAAAGAAAGGAAGTGCTTTTAAGTGTGAGTGTTGTGCCTTAGAGACAGACAGAGAGAGAGAAAGAGAGAACAAAGCCCATAATTTCAGGGAGATAAAGAGAAGAAGGCAAGCAGAGGTTGAACATAGAGTAGGGTCTATGCGTAGAAGAGAGAAGAGAATGCATTTCGTGTTTTATAAAATCACGAAATTGTTATTGCAGAACCAAACAAAGATCCTCACCCAAATTTTAACAAAAAAAAAAAACAAAGATCCTCACTTGAGAGAGAGACTCCAAAAAAGCAAACGCACCTAGACAGGAGGAATTTCTTTTTCTTTTCTCTTTTTGATATGTTTAAATATTATATTAATTTCTGATATAAAGTTTTATATTTTTCACGAGACAGTGATGAGTGAATGAAAGATGCATAAATCCGTCTGACACATTTTTTACTTTTTGAAAAAACATAAGAATAAAGAAAAATGTACGTTTTGATAATTCTTTTTCCTCTGACGTTTTTCTGTACCAAACTGTCACAGTGCTCAAACCAAAAATAGTAAAATCTATGTTTTTATTATCCCAATGTATGCTAAATGAAAGATTATTTCCCCCTAATTTACACACACTTTGCAATTATTATAGCATATTAGAGATCTCCAATCCATAACACTATTTTGTGTTAAAACTCCACTATTTTAGTGTAATTTTAGCACTAAAAATAAATTCATCTCCAACCACAAACATTAAACTTAACATTAAAAATTATTTTATAATATTATATTTATTTATGTTTTTATTTATTATTTATTTAATTGTGTAATTTATTAATAAAATAAATGAATAGTGTTTTATTGTATTGAATAGTATCACATCAAATTTGGTGTAAAATTATAGTGTTACACTAAAATAGTGTGAAGTTTAGTATTGGATTGGAAAAGATTTTTATGTTGAAACCACACTAAAAAGAATTTAAATGTTGGGTTAGAAATGACCTTAGTATATTTTAAACTAGATAGATTTATTTTGAGTCTCATGTGTGTAATTGGCTAAAATTGTCAGGATTTAACTAGGTTACTATACTATTTCCATAGATAAAATGTAATTTATCGTTTTGGTTTATCTATCTTCAGCTATTACAACACAATCTTGGGATTGATGTTTAAATCCGAATGTAGAAAATATATTTTTCTTATATCTACAACTTAAAAACTTGGTCAAGAATATATATACGAAAAATCCTTTTTATGATAGTTTAAAGTTTAAACTCTTTTTGTCAACTTAAAGTTTAATTTTATGTTGTTGAACAAGAAAGTAAATTTTAAAAACATCCTACTTAATATTTCTTAGTTCGGAGTCAGCCTTTTTTAATACCATTTATGGTGTAAAACACGCCTTCCACGCTGAATTGAACCCAAAAGTACAATAACACTGCGTTTAAACCAACTAGACTGTCATATTCTTAGTTACTATATATATATATATATATATATATATATAATTTAATAAACATCTTACTATATAAATTAGATTTGTACGGACTCAATATGAAAAAAAGTTGTATTCAATATTCATTATATTTTAAAGAAAATCTTCAACTTGGAATATTTCTCATACACGTAAATCGTAGGGAGATTTGTAGCCTACGTGTTTTTTTAATCTCTATGATCTTTTACATCAGAGTCTGACATACAATGACCACTTTTTCAAATGCGGAATCTACTTTCTTGTGTTTTTTTGTTGATTGCTTTAGCTGCGATCGATGTTTGTAGTTACCGATCGATTTGGTGACATTCATGAATAGACCAATAAACTATTACTACGTATAAATTAAAGAGGCATTCATTCGCGAGCAGATGTTATGTGTTTTTTTACTATGAATGGATATGATTGATTTCCAAATTACCACTTAAAAATAAGAATATTACATGTAAATGTAGCATTGTCTTTGTGAGGTGCGCTATTTAACAATAAACGATTTGTCAAGTCTTGAGTGTTTTGGTAGAAGACATGTTTTGTCCAGTGTCTGGCCCGAACGTCGAAATTAGTCTCTTTGAAATTTTGATGATTTAAGTATGGTCTGTCTGAGAAAAGAATTAGTTTTCTTCAATTAAAATAGAAACGATTTTATTAAAACAATGGAGTTGTGTCTTAAGTTTCTCCGATGTTCCACTACAAACGACCCAGACATGGGATAGCGATGTCGGATACATCATATATGTGTGTTTATCAATGTGCCTGTAACTACTTTTATTCATAATCTTCTAAATTTTTGATATTTATTGATGTCTTGATCATTAGTTTTTTTTCGCATTTCACAGAAAAAAACTTCTAAACATGATACATAAAATAAATTTCTGCATACAAAAAACTCAAATAATAGCCTAGATACTCAAATATATATGTGAGTGATTCATAATTTTCCTTTTTATTAAAAAGGATAAATGATAGTGAAATTCCTTATTAGTTACAACATGTAACAGGATTCCAAAATAACTGAATCTCAAGATCATGAAATTGAGTTTTCAATAAAGACTGAATTTACCAACTTTAATATCTTTGCTTCTAAAAATAAGAACAAAAAAAACACATTACATGTAATGCCTGAAACTCTATTTTATCAACAAATATTCATTCCATTATGCTGCAAAATCCTATATTAACTTCTTATAAAATCTAAGGAATAAATTTAGTTGAGAGTTGAACTAAGGAGCCAAAAAAAATTGAGAATAATAGAAAGAGGAGAATGTGGGGGTCACTCACGGGATGGGCCGATGGGGTAAACAAGAAAAGTGGCTCTTACGGTTAGGCATATTGTAGGACCCCAACATTGTCTGCTCCGACCACCACCACTCACCCGCCCATCCCATCATTCTTTATTTTTCGATAACATTAACAAGTTTGGTTTTCTCAAATCCATATACTAGTCCCAAACCGTATTCAACTCTAAACCAACAGAACGTTCCTGAATTTGGTTTTCAAGTGAAATTTCACCTCATAAAACTAAAAATCTTAGTTGAATTGGGTTTGGTAGATTTCTCATAATATATAAAAGGTTCTTATAGCTTAAGATTCCAGATGAAAACGGTAATTAGTAAGATAAATTAATTGATTATATCACTAGTTTACATGTATTCATGTTTTGGTTTGTTTTTTTACATTTCAAGTCGGCTTGTTATTTTTTATCTTTTGTTTCGGCGTAAATCATTAAATCTCATATTTGATTAAATGCATATATATATATCATCAGTTGATTAATTTATAAAAATTCATACCAAATTTCCATAGATGATCATAAGTTATCAGACAATCATAAGAAGAGGAGCATGAAAGGAGAGAAGACATAATGATGGAAGCACCTAGTTGCTTTAAACTCGTGAAGAAGAGGAGATAAGATATTCTTAAAAAAGTCTAATTAGGTGTTTAAAATTTCAATAATTAATAAGTAGAGAGAATGTTAACCAATGATTATAATGAGAGCTAAGTCATTGGCAGATGAATGTCTTTACCTATCAGCCTAACTTTCTGCATAATCATTTGTGAATTGCAATTCATGTTGCTTTCGAATTCTTAAAATATAGATCAGGCCGAGATTTATGCTTTCTCATCATTACAGATTTGTGGGATGTTGTACCAAAAGCATTATTCCCATTTACTTATCAATTAGTACAATTTAATTAGTGTTTTTGGGGGAAATGTACAGTTTAACCTTCATATGAGTTCATTTTTATAACAAGGAATTNATTGCAATTCATGTTGCTTTCGAATTCTTAAAATATAGATCAGGCCGAGATTTATGCTTTCTCATCATTACAGATTTGTGGGATGTTGTACCAAAAGCATTATTCCCATTTACTTATCAATTAGTACAATTTAATTAGTGTTTTTGGGGGAAATGTACAGTTTAACCTTCATATGAGTTCATTTTTATAACAAGGAATTCCGAAACCTTTCTCTATAATTGTTATATATTATACTATTGCGTAACTTTCTAATGTTTTCATATAATGTTAATGTGTTATATTGGTTGTGAGTGTTTACAAGATTCTTTTAGCTATTTAAGCTTATGTATGAAAATATAACAAATACAAAACTAAAACGAAATGTCAAAGGACATAACTCGGCTGTCCATCTTGTAGTGTACCAAATGGGGCATGTGGAAGGTTGAAGGAAAGCTATCCCCACTTTTGTTGTTTATTTTCTATCATTTTATTCAACTTTCTATTCCTTTTATAAAAATAAAGTGATTAGAAAAATGTCACAGAAATATATCTTTGGCAGTAATATTGATTGAGACTTTAGCTCTCGCTTTATCAGACACATATCATGACCTTAGGATCATGGTATGTCCCTCTTATTTTAAGCATTCGTCGACATTTCTTTTGTTTTACTATATCACTTTCAACATTAAATTTCATAATCATATTTTAAATGAGAACCAAAGGCTCCTGGATCCACAGTTAGTAAAAACGTATCAAGAAATCAGCTTCCAACCGAAACGGAACGGAAATCGATTTTGGGCCTGATTGGGTTGGGCCATCGGATCACTGGGCTTACTGTCAAACTATTTCTACTTCAAATGGGAGATGACTAACCTCTAATGCCAATTTGAATAACTAAAACCTGAAACCTCTTTTTATCTTTTCTTGTGGTTTGATTATTTCCTCCACGATGGATGGATGATGAATGAGTCACTGGTTACAGAAGGGAAAGGCTTTGAAGCTGATTGATCAGCAGATCTTTTGTTGTTTGCGGCACAAGCAACAAAGCGAAGTTCTGCCTCCAATTCTCATTCAAGATGTATAACTCATGTTTTAAAATTAGAGA